ATTTCTTCACGTTATGGTCAAAAAAGTTGTAGATATTAGAAAAATAACGTTACATTTCCACAAAACGCTAACGTTGGGGGTATATTCCTCTAACGTTAACGTTTAACGTTAACATTAGGTATGAGCTCATATAACGTTAACGTTTAACGTTCACGTTATATAGAATATATCCAAACGTTACACATTATTGTAACGTAACGTACAAAAACGTACATTTTACGTTACGTTACACTATCGTTGACATCTCTACTATTTACTAATGAATTAAACTACATATATTGTATTTTATAGGAAAGTGAGTTGACTCATGAACTGTATTGTATTGTATTGTATAAAAAAGTGGGTTGAACAATGACCTAAAGCATATTGTATTGCATATGAAATTGGATTGACCAACAAATTAAACTCTACTTTTTTGCTACATTTAAGGTTTGGAGGAGTACATTAAAATATGCATAGACTTTGATATCTATTTGCTTTTTTATGGGCAACAAAACACAGTTTAGTTTTGTATTTTGAAAAAGAAATTAGATCTTGTTCCCAAACTCTGATATTATAGTGTCTGTGCCACTAAATGTTGTAGACCATAGATATTTCAAACTATGAATTCTGTTAGATAAAATAATTTCAATTTCAAATATCAAAGAATATTGGGATTAACAAATTAAAAAGACTAAATTCTTCTTGTTAACAGAGTTAAGAGAAAACAGAGCTTACTGCTGTACAGATTACAGAAACTTGGAGAACATTTGAACATAATTACAGTCATTAGAAAACCTCTCAGCAAAGAGAATATCATATATTGTTTTGAATAGGAAAGTGGATTGACCTGGTTAACTCTATCTTCTGTTGGAACCCTGGTGAGCCTGGTTCTCCTGGTCTGGGCTTGTATAGGGAAACAGTCCTACAGATCTAGATCTAGGTTAGAGTCTGACTCTAGGAGTTATCAGGGTAGAAGGGTATAGCAGTTAACAGTCCTACCGGGATCTCTGGAGGAGGCGACTCAAGTATAAAACACAAAGCAAAGTTTCACATTAAACGAATAAAGTCAATCAAAGGAATTGAGTCTTTGCCACAAACTTTGAGATTCCAATCCCTATATCTTAGCAACCCGATTTGTTGTAGACCTTAGATATTTCAAACTAATACTGTTAGATCAATCTAAGTTTTAAATACCAAAGGTCTACACCATGCAGGTTGACGAGAACCTGGCCAAAAATGAATCCGGTTTAGAAATAGTGAACTTTCAAAAAAAATGTTAGAGTTGAAACTGTTAAAAGTACCAGGTGCAGATGTTTAGTTTTTTAATTAAGTGATGATATGAAGCTGTTCCCGCATATTCATGGCTATTTATTTATTTTCGCAATTATTTTCGCAATTACTGAGATTTACGTTTAATAGTATAAACCCATATAAATATAAAGTATAAACTGTATCTATTTGTAATCATGCTAAGTTTGTAAATTCTTTTATCATATCTTAGTTCTTAATTACTGTTGATAAGTTTAGTGTTCATATGCTCTCATTTGACAAAGTAAAGGATTTTTTTTGCGAAGTATGGTTGCAGCTCAAACGGTAAAAAATAAAAAAACAGGTATTGAATAGAAGTGAATTCATTCGGAAAATATGGTTTAATATTCAAATTAAGTTTCTCAGAAATAGCAATTATATTTTGTTAATAAGAACATTTCAATTCAAGCTAATGTGAAATGTGCCATTTTAAGTTTATCATAAGTCCAATATAATTGTTTAAGTGTAACAGCACTTGAGTTCGTTAAATTAATTTGAAAAATGTGAAATGTGCCATTTGAAGTATTTAAAGTTCAGCTGGTGGTGATTAAAAATTTTGATGAACGGCTACAGCTTTTATAATATCATTTCGTCCTGATCATTTCAAGATACCAAAAAATATGTTGTAAATTAATTGTAAGTTCGTAAAACATGTAAAAACGTTTAAAAAGAAACCGAAGAAACCGAAGAAATGGTTTAAACTATACAAATAATTTGCCAATTTCTGGATAACTATGGCCTATATTGTGCCTTAAGGCAAAGGCCTTAATGATAAACTACCCTCACCCCCTCACCCGTAAAGATGTAAAACTCGTACAAGTTTACAACGGGTTTGCATTAATTCTTGAAAGAATTTTTATATCATAGATTCATGTAATATTCGTTAAGTTCATGATCTCCAGTGATCCAAATAAACATGCTGATTTGCTACAAAAAAACTTTAAGTCAACTTAGTAAAATCAAAAGCCATGAGACCAGTTTTTATAGCAGTCTGGAACTACATGTCGACTAATAACATTCTTTTCAAGTAGAATCTAGAAAAGTTTTTTTTTCTTTTCAAATGTTGACATAACTCAGCATTTTATTATAAAGATATATTCACCACAAAGATATAATTATATATATATGAATGGTGTAGTTTAAATTTGTTTTAAAATATTAAATATATAGTTTTACAAAAGAAAAAAAAATATTCATAATTATGCACAAATAGGCGACATTGATCATTACTCATTACATAACACATTTATCATTTCAGTTATTACGTAATCATCGAATCCTTCAACATATAAATTATTCGTTCTTCTATTTAAAAGTTCTTGTATAACCGGAACTTTCCATGCATGGTCCAATGGGACAT